TTAAATTCAATGAAAACCAACGAGTCCGTGACGATGACGAACGCAATATATTATAATAATAACACACGGCAGAGCGAGGACTCGGTCTTGCCACAGTGACATCGTCAGTATTCAATATAGGCGTATTATGCAAAGGGTCAGCTCGGCGGAAACCCTTATTACGTATACGTATACTCGGCATATGTTCGTCGCCGTAATATTATTATTATAACTCCTCCGCACAACAGGTGTTTGTTTTGTCGGATTATATACATACACACTCGTATACCGTTGTAATTATCGGACCGTCGGCGGGTATAAATGTTTTAACGAGTTTCGACGATAATAATATATACAATTTGTTTTAATAAAACCGAATAAACGACCATGATAATATAATAATAACTAAAAGTCATATCACGTATTATTGTCGTAGACATGTCTCCCTTGGTCTTTGCACCTGCTAGCAGTCATCGTCTGAAACCCGACAACATATTATTTATTTCAAAAAAATAACTCTCCTGTTTTTCATACTGCCGGACATCTTTGTAAAACATTAATTATGTTTTAGATTCTGAGCGAAACGGGGTTATGATTTTTTTTTTTTTTTGCCTTTACGCAACTTTTCTACAAGAAATCTTATTCCGATCAAAAAATGACAACAGACCTATTCGTTGCATTTTAGATGTAGTTTATGTATTGGGTAGATCATTTTTTTTTTGATTTCACGAAGAGTTTTCGTAATAATTTGCAAAAACGTAAGAAATACGGGGAAGTTGGTAAATAATAGAAACTATAGCAAAATGATGAAAATATATTATTATTAATAGGTATTATTATTAGTGATATATAGTTGTCAAAATATTATGGCGTATTTCTAATTATGATTATTAAAAATTGTTAGTCCGGGTTTTTTCTGGTCTTATGGAAATAAAATATATGATAAAATTCGTTTTAAACACAAACATTATTGTAACATTTATTCTTTAGTTACAAATGAATACGTATAACATACAATATTCAATTCAAATTTATCAAAAAAATGTCCTAATAATTACTAATTGCCTAATTAACAACAGAGGCTGCTATCATAGTTTTGTTTTCTTTAAAATATTACTTTACAAACAAAATGTAAGGATTATGTTATACGCGTTTGATAAGTAATGATTTTTAATATTTCGACTGCAGTGTAAAATATTTCAATGTAAATATTTCACTCAATACTTTTCATATTACGTTTAATTAATTCGTTCTAGTTCTGTTTTTTTTTTTTTTTTTTTCAGTTGCCTATCTGTTAAACACGCCCACTGGTGTGAATGAATTAGTGCGGTCACATCATGCAACATTCCGTGCTCTAATATAAAACCACAATAATTTTTGGCGATATTACGGTATTTTTGGTCAGTATATATATTCTTATATTTTTTCTCAAAACACTTTAACAATGAAGCCATCTTCAAGTAAAGAAAAAAAAATTGTAAAATTAAAACATAACGATGACACGTACAAAAATTAAATCTAATAATTCATCCGAACGAAACGATAAAAAAAAACCACTATAACATTATATTAATGGATCGAAAATTAAATTTAACGTTATTTATACTATTTATATATTATATATTTTTATCACTATATTCGGATTTCCTGTTATTAGAGTTAAAAAACAGTTTATCCGTATTGTTTTAAAACTAGTGTGCTACTCCAACAATTCGACTGTAAGAACTGGTTTTTTATGGGCAAAATCTACTCAGGCTTTAAACTTATTAAGATATCAAATTTTCACAGTAAAGATATGAAAACTTGCTTTGTGCAGCGTATAGTTTTAGTCTTCTCGATACCACGAATGAAAAAAAGTTATTTTCGTTTTAAAATCCGATAATTTTAAATATTTCAATCTCGAATAACTGTTTTTATCGTAATATCGAAAAACTAAAACGAACGTTGCGCAGGGCGGGCGCTCTTTTTTTGTAACGAAAATTGAATTTCTTAATTAACATTTCTACTATAGTCCGAACATGGTTTTTACCCGCACGAATCGGTTTCTCATCCAGAAACTTGTTAGCTAATTTAAAGATTACTTTATTATGTAATAATTATAATAATATATTATGTAATGCGTGTGACAACTACAATTGTAAACTTGTTTTAAAGTGAAATTAAATATTATTTAGTTGATAAAACTTTAGTTTTTAATTTATCCCAGAAAATTGCCTATACCCAACCCTTTAAATACGGAGACCTTTAGTACACAACTCTTACATCATACCTATGGATTTCGTGTATTACGCTGTTACAAGTGACGCAAAATATGAAGCGTAAATATCTCTGGCCTGTCTGTGATCTGCACTGTAATATAATGGCACACGCAGAACCTTTTTTTTTTACATATATTAGGTAAACAACTTTTCTACCAGCAATTTCGCTCCGATTTACAATGATAGCACTTTTTCTGAAAGGAAATCTGGGCGAGTAGTAGAGCACTTATAAAACGCGAGCCGTGCTTTACTACAAATTATACTAAAACATTCTTCCCCTACCTTAACTTAAAAGTGGAATATCTCGATAACGGGTTGACGGAAATCAAACATTTTGACACCAGCATTTATTTAAAATAATACTATATCAATTTATAGAATTTTTAATAAAGATTCTCTTTTGAAAAACCATAGTTAGTATCGCCACAAGATACTTCTTAAATGTTGTGAAAAATATAAGTATTCGAAAATATCGGCTTTAACTCAACTTAAAAATTCCAGAAATCAGAATTTGAACATATGCAAAATTTAGCCAATAAATAGGGTGGGTAAGTTTAGTGAATCACTCCGTATATTATATTTTCATCATAGATGAATATAGAAAATTGTACTCAGTTTATAGAATACTGAGTACAATTTTTTTGTATGTGATTTTGCCTATGCATACGAATTGAATGTCATTCAAGTTGTAACATGTATTAATTTCCTTACTCTTAAATAATGATTTTTGTAAAATATTTTAAGATGATATCTGTGCTTACGGATAAGTTAATACTACGCCAGTGGCACACAAATCGACTTGCGGACTGTTAAAGCTACGCCAGAGGTCGAACGATTTCAATGAGCTTTCATCACACTCTAACCGACGTACATATCCACAATATCGTAAATTATGTACAATAGTAGGCAATGAATAAACTATAATTAACAATAGTCAAAATTCATCAAACCTACAAATAATATAATATAATTATATTTTTAAATCATAATTCAAGAGTAAGGAAATTAATACATGTTACAACTTGAATAACATTCAATTCGAATGCCTTTACATCGAGGTACAATTTTTCAAATTCATCTATGCTGAAAATATAATATAATATATTAATTACGTGATTAAATTGTATTTTTTTTTTTTTTTTTTTATATTAATAAAATGTTAAAATGTTAAAATATTATGATATTGATTGATACATTATCTAGTTCAGATGGAATAGTATGAATAGTAAACTTTAATTGTTTAATAAAATAAACACAATAATAATTAGTATGTTTAAATAATGGTTTTTTTTTTTAAACGCAACAACAGTCCAGACGTATCTAGTTGATGCACAATCGATCGAGAATTTTTTCCCCAATAATTTAATGGAAAAAACGTATTCTTAAAAACTTTAAACATATCTTATTATTGCACCGGTGCAATTATTAATTACGTTTTCAACTAATAACTAAATACGATTTGAGTTTTTAACTGATATTTCATAAAAACACATTAAAAAATCTTTATGTAAAATCCCATTAAAAAAAGGGGGAAAAAAATGTAAAAGTGGCAGATACCTATATTATATTATTATGTTTTCTTGGATCCATGTTTGGGCATGTGTGTATGAACCGATTTTTTCACACATAACTTTAAAAAATACACGAAATTTCCACCATTGAAATGTTTTTTTTCCCGACAGTTATCCACTTTTGTTCTTCACTTTTATTTTTTCGGTTTTCAGAGCAAAATTTAAAAGCAAATCGGAGCAAAACATCGCACCATAATTACGTATTCATTCTCAAATCAATTTAGCCCTACTGTAATAGTATGTTACAAATGTATCCAAATGTTTTTCTATTAAACAAATTGCATGTTCTTCTAGCTTTGGTAAAAGTGAGCAGAACCATGTTTAGGAATAAAATAAAAATCAATGAACAATTATAATATGCACCTACATAAAATTATTTAGAGAATCAATCGAGATTGATTTAATTAATATTATAATTTAACTGTTTTCGTTTTTTTTTATATATACTGTAACGTGCAAAATTGAATAATAACTCAATAATAACACCAAAATCGTCTACGCAGTTATGTCACTTTATCTCATAAGGCAAAGGTCCGCGTACGTTGTCGCGGTGGTTTTTCAAACACACCACCACCCGACCGTCACTCTGCGAGCGTATATCGATGTGTAAAGGGGGGTATCGGCCAATCAGATGATAACAGTTCAATTTCGCGACCGACGGACCGCATAACGGCCATCGGATCGTTTTTTTTTTGTTGGTTGCTCCAACACCGTTCACGGATACGGACCTTTTTATTTTTGCTCCGTTTCCGNAGGTATGCATATCCCTTGTTTTTTTTAATATTGGCCGATACTACCCTATTATTATTATTATTTTTTTTTATTATGATTTATTTATTTTTATTTGTATTTATATTTCACCTATGTTTCCTTTCAGGATGTTCTATAATATGTTTCAATACATTTAACTTGTTATTACTTAGGTAAATCCTGTAACTCCGGCGGATCCTGTCTCGGTTGCAGGTCGGTCCGTGGCGAACGCCCGGGTCGCATAACGCTCGTGGCGAACTCCGTCTTTACGGCTGCCAACTCTTGTTTAAAGTATTACTATCTTAATATTTTTTTTTTTGTCAAGACGACGCGAGACGTTACAATACACTATAAAAAAAATGCATAATAATAATCTGATGAATAAAAATATAAAATATTACCTGGAGCCTTGTCCGTCATAGGTGAAGTTTTGTGAGTTAGTCGAAGATACACGCAAATAATTATTATATTTGTATATTAATAATTTGTCCAATCTAACGATACAAATTAGTAAAACATTGGGAAAAATGAAATGACGTTACAAAAAATTTTAAAGATCGAAAACACACCAGACAAGGGCCGGCCGTATCAGAGTTGGGAACATTATTTTTCTTTCCAACAAAATAATACTTACAATTACTGAAATAACAAAGTAACACGGATACTGTTAATAAAAGACAACGATGTCGTCGTCGTAGAAATTATTAATGTACGACCGCGGATAAAAATAATAAACTAGATACATCTAGGATTTTTTTATAGTCAATTCAATTAATTTTTACACATAAATCATTGCCGACGAATATCGAATCTGGGCGGTTAAAGTGTTTTAAAATGCCCCGATTTGTATGATTTTCGGTGCATACCTAAACAATAAACGTTTATAAAAAAAAAAAAAAAAAAACGTTATCGTATAACGCTCAGGTTATTCCTTACAACTTATTCATGACGGATTTCGTTATTCATTAATCATTGTGTTTTGTAATCCATTTAGACGCGAAACTCGGACACTTGCGGTTTACTCAAAAATGTTAAAACGGTACTCGTGTCGATTAACCTCTGCGGGATTCGGACGGCTACACGCGCGGATCGCGCGGCAGGCGGAAGGCGGAAGGTCCGTACAAACATAACAGCGGGCAGCCAATACGCTTTTACGTAATATTATCGAGGATCCCGTGCGGATCGTCGGCGTACCGGCCGCGCTCGTACAATACGCGTGTAACTGCGTACCGGTCGTTTGTGTCGGTCCGTTCACAGTGTACACTTAATGAACCCTTTCTGTGACGACCGCGAGACCTGTGCATAAAAATAACACGCGACGCGAAAAATACACGAGTCTTCGGCCGTCGATAATAATATTACGCCGGCATAATGAAACGCCGCGGAAATCTTCAAGACCGTTGTGTCCACGTACGCGCGTGTGTGCGCGCGCGCACAATGAAATTTCCTATATATTATATACATATATATATATGTACACACACAAACACACACACACACACACACACACACTTACGTCTATATCGTATTACGCCCGTATCGTTGCCGCGATGAAACGAATTCGTAAACTGACTTAGCATAATCGACGGTCAGTCGACCGTGAACGAGTTTACACGAGGAGCGAAACGCATGAATATATTTACGCGCACACGCACACGCACGCACACGCATACACACACACACACACACACACACACACACACTGTTCAATCTCGGACCGTACGCCGGGATTTATCGGTAATGAGGGTATGGACCGTGGCAGTACAAACGGCATGCCTATTGCCGATTCATACGTGCGTTACACTCGTGTATACAACACAAATAGGCACTGATCGCAGTTGTACGCTTATTGATAATATTATGTGTGTGTGTGTGTGTATAAAATATACGTTTTGAGAGCTCAGAGCGTAATACATAGGTACCGATATACACATATATATATATACACATAAATATTATAACAGCGGTGTTTATCCTTCTTATAACCGCTATGCACCGAATCATTTATATACTTATATAAATAATACGTTTGTCTTTTTTATTATTTTTTTTTTTCCATTCTTTCACACGAAAACTGTTGCGGTCTCCTATACATATATATATATATATATATATATTTGCATACGTAAACACAATATCGGGTATACTGCTATGATAATGTATAGTTTGGGTTTTTTTTTAATTCCAACGCGCTTTTTGTATTCTAACCTATGTGTGTGTTTTACATTGTTTGACGGAAAAGAAAAAAAAAAAAAACATGAATATTTTATAGTGTGTTATCATCATCCATCCGCGGCATACGCGTATATGCGCGTCTATCGCTAAAAACCGCGATGAATGAACGCCGATCGCGCCAGATTTTTACACGGCCTGACGGAGACCTAGCGTTATCTATACGCGTACACAATATAGGAGGTATCTAATGCCTACCGACCATATCGCCAGACGACGATGGCCAATTGCACGTGTGCATACTTGCATATTATTTGAACGAAAATTATTTTCTAGGTGCGTTCATTTTGCAGACCACCGGTGCCTACGCGTTACGTACACGGCCCGCGCGGCAAAGTTGGCGCAGTGTTAATGTTTGGAGAAAATTTAAAAAAAAAAACAACCATTTGGGGAACGACGTTTTAATGACGACATCGTAAACTTTTTGGATTTTAAATAGTTTAATATAATATAGCTGTTTAAAAAAAAAAAAATAATAATAATAACATTATTGTTTAAAGACGATTGAAAGCGATTTGTTTTTACCAAATACGCTGAAATAAACACGAGTATTACAGACCCTATCCGAGTTCGGCCCGAGCGATACATATTATCTACAACTCGCGGAAGTTTTTCATCAATTATAGGTATTACATATATATATTTTCGGTTTACGTTTCAGGAAACTTACTTCCTTGGTAGTAGCGTACCGGGTTTTCACCAACAAGTATATTATAAATTATGTTCAGTGGTGTAGTCCGTCTAATGGGCAATACAGCAAAATCTAACTCGCGCAATCTGCGTAGAACTCGCTTAATTTCGATTTTAGAGTAAAAGCACCTGTTGTAAAAATTAAAAGAGGATATTGCGTCGATTTTATCGCTGAAATATTAGGATTTATCGAGCCGAGTGGGCTGAACGGAATAGGACACTGTGTGAATTATATTAACAGATTAAGTGGAGTATGGGAACGGCACGGCGATTAATGTCGCCGGGTTAAAAAAGTTATCGACAAAATTCAAATATTTCCACACACCATATTTTACATAAAACAACAAAGAATTAAATTTATACACGCTAATTAAAATTTAAAATACAATACAATAAAGAAAACCAATAAGGATTCTGTTTATAATTATTAATTATGTCTGTTTTTTTTTTATAAATTTGAATTGGCCGCTGAATTGCGTGTGAAGATATCGGTGCTTTTCCGAAAATTCGTATAAAATAAACCGAGATCCAACAAACGGCGGGACCTTTCCAACAATGTCCAACAAGCCGTATTAAACAGTTTTGGGTAGTTTTTTTTAGTTTTCGGGGAAAAGTTGGTGTCAAGTTAGCGGTGCTTCTAGATAGTTGTCTATAACTTTTTAACAATCGTCCAACAAGTTGTAAAAACTTTCCAATAAATGACGCACAAAATTGCCGGATAGGTTTTATTTTATTTCTGTTACATGTGTGCTGCCAAGTTCACGGACGTGAAGATATCAGGATTATATTCCGGAGGGCAAAACGATGCGTTTCTTTTTTTTAATGTGATAATCATTTAAAAACGATGAATTAATTTTTATTTCTTAACGATTCATCGAACGTTATTTTTAGAATAATAGGAAAACCACATCGTCTTGACCTCCGAAATATGGTCTTCTTTTAATTTTACAATAGGTACTTTTACTCTAAAACCAAAATTAAACGAGTTCTACGCAGACTGCGTAAGGTAGATTTTACTGTATTGTCCGTTAGTTGGACCGATTAAGATAGCACATGCGGGTATAGCGTCCTCTTAAGAGAACATAACAACTACATGTGCTGACTCATCCCTCCTACAAACACACCACGAAATGGCAAATGTCCATTCAGCAGGACCAATTTTACGCTGTTAGTTTTATGCATTTATTAATATGAATCGACTTATTATCAAACTTGAAGATAAACGAATATCATCTATGCACCGTGCAAATATACGTCGGTTTTTATTCGATCTTTTAATGTACAAGCGAGATATGTAAACGTCATAAGCGTTTTTAATTAATATTGTGATATTTCACATACTCTAATCTCGTCAAAACTTTGTAGGTAAGTGTTATTTTTATGTTCGATCAGTCACATTCCTGTGACTACTTCGTTACAACTCAATGTTTTCCAACACTATAAATTATCTATTTAAGTAATTACGCACACTATCATCCAGTGGCGTAGGTCAATCAAGAGGGGTAGGGGTTTAAAAATTGTATTATACTACGAGTATAAATACTGTTGTAGGTATTTTATTACCTATTGGCTATATAGTCATGTTAAAAACATCACCATTAAAAACTGCTATAAGGGGAGGGGATGATCTACCTATAGCTCCCCTTAGCTACTCTACTGATATCATCACCGTCAATTATTTTATTCGATAAGTGGTTTTTTTTTTTTATACATTTTTAATAATTGTTAATAAAAAATTATTAGAATTTACAGCGAAGATTTCTTAACAATTCTTAATAAAAACAATTAAATCGGTTTAAATTGTCGTATGAATGGGTCATACCTCGTGATTTTACATTGTGTAACTAAAAACCGTCAAAAATGATAAGTTAGAACAATGATAAAAACTAGTCATATTCAAACTCTAAGTTTGTAAGCATAGTTTTTAAAATCCAAGTCTAATAGACCCTGTAAAAAAATATTTTACTAAAAAAAAAAAAAAAAACAGGCGGCGGGCATTCGCCTTAATTATAATATTATTATAGTTACCAGCGTCGTTAAGACTTTCCACTAGACTGAACCGCGGAGTGTAATAATTTAATATTATACTTGGAAACTGTATTACCGCTTCTCTCGCGTAACGTAACGTTGACGATTTTCCATAGAAAGACGAGCAGCTAATTTAATTTGTATCCACGGCGTAGGCAGGTCATCTGTGTATTACGATTGGTCCATCTCAGTACTGTAGACCAACTGCGTAATTAATGTGATAGATGCGTACATTTTGAAAACGTCTGTTGCGTAATAATAGACGGTTGACTTTATACTACCATCATATCGTTTCGATTTCTAATAGTTAACGCGCAGATATCTATATATTTGTGCTGCGACATAATATTTTACGGTTGTAAGTATGTACATATACTGTATTACAGACTTACTACGTAATTAGTAGGTACTGTTGACTACTAGTCCATCGGAAGCGTGCATAACGGAAATTTCGTAAAAATGAATAAACTGCAACGAGATGTTTACTCATACCGTGGTCCAGAAATTATCTCAACGAAGGTTTTGGTCGTTTCGGGTAAAATTGATTTTGTGTTTTTTTCTTTTTTTTTTTTTTTTTAGTCATTCTAGTCCGATCGTTTAATGATCTGAATGTCTACACATAATATATAAAACAACTTGTCCTGACTGACTGAGTGACTGATTCGTCGTCGCCTAGACCAAACCACTGGACGGATCGGGCTGAAATCCGGCATAAAGATATGACATAGATCATCTCTAGGACAAGATTTTTGAAAATTCATACCCTAAGGGAGTAAAATAAGGATTTCTAGGAAATTTGTTTTTTTTTCATTCATGGCATACCTTGGTGATAAGGATGAAAATAACAAAAACATTGGTCAGGGCG